ATCAACAAAACAATCAGAACAGAAGACTGAAGAACTACTTAGCCCCAAAGAAGGGACATGAGACAACCTTTCTCTGGGGTTTTCCAGAGTTGGGGGTGGGGATGGCTATAGGTTTGGAACTTTGCACATGATGCAGATTTTTCCATTTTTTTTCTCAGATTTGTTCCTGTATTTTTTCTTTCACTTTTTACTCTTAAAAGGGATGGTTCTCTGGATTCATTGGGAAATAGAGGTGATGTAAATGCAAATTAAAGTTTAAAACATAAAAAGAAGCAAACTTCTTCTTTAGAACTTTCCTTGGACCCCAGTAGCTCTAGGGCTGAATGTGATCTGGATTTTTTAACTAAACCAGCAGAAATATGCACTTGTAACTTTCATATTTTTGTAATTCATGTCTGCTGGTACAACCTAGCCATGAATATTGAATATCCCTCCAAAACTATCTTCATTTATTTTTTTTAAATGTTTTGTAATTATGTATACACACACATATATACATATATATGTATGTATATACATACATACACACATGTAATATAGAGACACACGTATAGAGGAAGAGAGAGTCAGACAGACAGACAGAGACAGATAGACAGACAGATGGATTACCAAAATGTTTATGCATTTTGCATTTATTTTTAATGGAATTTCTCCTTCAAGAAATGCTGTGGTTTTTATTGTGTATTTAGTTTGTATCTTGCTACATCACTAAAGAACTCATGAATTTCTGTGAAGATGGGTGATTAGGGCATTGAAAAAGTCACTATATTGTCACATAGTGGATAAAAAATTGAAATTTGAGTCATGAGGATGTGTTTGAATCTCACCTCAGATACTTACTAGCTATATGAAACTGACCCAGGCACTTCAGCTTTCTAAACCTCAACTTCTCCATTGGTAAAGGGTAGCAAATAATAATTACTTCACAAGGATGTTTTGAGGATCAAATGAGATGATCTATTTAAAGTACTTTATAAAATTTAAACTCTCTCTGCATGTCTATATGAATCATTATTATTATTACTATCTTGTATTATTTTTATATGAATTTTCTATTTCCTACCAAAACCTCACTTACATATCCATTGGAGGGGAAGCATGGTACAGTAGATATAAAAAGCTGGCCTTCAGTCAATAGTCAGTTGATAAACAGTTCTCAAGTATCTACTACATGTCAAGCACTTTGCGTGAGCTTCATAGTCAGAAGAGCTGGTTTCAGTCCTGTTTTTCACCCATAATGACTAAATGGAAACAAATCCTTTAAGATCCCAGAGCTCCAGTAACTCCCTAAGATTAAGTGACTTTGGAATTGTTCATACATACATATTATATATATATATTTCCATTAAGGGATACTTCCCTTTATAAATGAACTCCTAGATTTAGAGACCTTCACTCAAGAAGAAATATACGTGCATATCCATGTGATATATGTTAAATGACAATTGCCTTGTCATGATTATAGCTCAAGTCCACTTATCGGGTAGACAGAATCCCAGCAACTGAAACCACCTGGAACATGCTGGGTGTTGAGAAATCAGTGAAAAAGATCTAGAAGCTGCCAAAAGTAGACTAGCTATCAAAAAGCCCAGGCATTTTACTCCATGAGAGAGATAGAGCTGCAATTCCTTGATGTCTCTATGGGACATTAAAATATGGGGAGAGAATGATGGCCACATAAAAATCATAGAAAGCTTCCCTGGACTTATGCTCTAGATGCTTCCTTGGTCTGTAAATACAACTACTCATGATCATCTATCATTTGGATTTAATTGCTATGGATATTACATGGCTTTTGGGGTGGGTTTCCTTTCTTTTATTCTTTTTTTCTTTTTAATGGGTTTGGGAGCCCCTGGAGGGAAGAGCTGGTTACAAGCACCCAATCCTTTCATGAAAGCCTCATTCTTCGCTGCATTGTCACTTCTCTGCCTTTTTCTCTTGCTGTTAATTTTAGCCCATAAGCTATCTGCTGCTGAGACAAGAAACCCTTAATCCTGGAGAAAATGTTCCAAGTAGCATGACTATGGACCAAACCACTTTTTTGCTAGCTTTCTGCAGCTCTTGGATTTCTTCTCCAGGCCACAGCCTGTGGAACCTTGAGAAGTTGTATTTTATGCCCTAAAGCTGGAAACAGTAAAAAGAAAAATAAAAGGCAGGGAATAGAGCCCTAGAAAAAAGGAGTTAGAAGGGAAATGGATATTTTTAACTATTCCAAGTTCCATTATGACTCTCCCCAAATTGGGAAGAGATCCTTGCTTCCTCAAAGTGTTGTTTGTTTGCTTTTATCTCTCTGGGCCTCACTTACCTTACGTGTAAAATGAAGGAGTTGGACCTAAGAACCCCTAAAATCCCCTACAACTCTAGTTCTATAGTCCAAGGATCCTGGATGAATGAGAAAAATCACACCCCTTTTTCTTTGCACTGGAGTATAAAAGAGATGTTTCCAGCTAGTTCTCCAGGATAAGAGAAGCAACAACGCCTGCCCTATTAAGTCCCCTGAAACCCAACTGCACTGAACGGGTTGTTGTGGTTGTTGTTATTGTTTGTCCTTCCATCTCGAAGAGGACCAGGACATCAGGGAGGTGATGCCGACTTGCAAGTGAATTGGATTTAAGTGAGGGAGGGCTGTGCAAAGTCACCAGCCTCACTTTCTTCTCCAGAGCCATTTGGGTCCAGTGGCAAGATAAAGATCAGGACAACTGACGATGGCCCCATTGAACTGGTCAACATAGGGAGAAAGATGTTAGTGGACAAGAAATTAACAAGCTGAAGCAAGAAAGTTGCCCTCCAATCAATGCCTTGAATTAGATGGAGATTTCTGGGCATAGCAGCCCCACTGCCCTATGTAGAGGAGAGTAAGGAGAGAAGGGAAGTGCATATACATTTGATGATCCATAAGGTCTTCATTTACTATTTGTTCATCTTGAAATATCCCAGTCTGACTAATTTAGAGCAGTATCTTGACTCTAAATATCTCTTCTGGTCATATTAGGCAGAAAACTTAGTCTCCTCCATCAGCAATTTCTCAACTCCAAATGCTCACCAGATCAGGAAATATTCAGATGAATACTTGGACATCCTCTTCAATTAGCAAAATTAAGTCAAATGAACTAGAAACAACCTCAGTGTCAACGGGATTGCCCAGTAAGTACTGACTGACTTGGAAGAATTCAAATGGTAATTTTTGAGCGTCCTGTCACCATCTAGTCATGGCTACAGACGCAGAGCTGAATACCTCACAAAGTAGTTATAAGCATGGTTCACTTTTTTTCATTGAAGGAATTAAGATTGTAAGGAGGATATCATGGAATGTGATCCAAAGGCCTTTGGAATCTCAGGAAGAAAATTAAGCAAAATGAAAAACCTTCTATGCTAATTAAAGATCACTAAACAAAGAACAGAATGAAGTGAACTTTTTTTAGGGGCCTAAAAATAGATCAGATTAGGAAAGAGAATAAAGATTCCAGGGAATAATAAATACAATTGAGGATTGGAAGTCAAGCAGATATGGGTTCAAATCCTTTCCAGGTCACCTCTTAGCTGTGTGCCTAAGAATGAGTCACGTTTCCTCTCTGGTGCTCCATTTCCTCATGCAGCTAATGGGGATAATGATAATCACAGGGCTATTATGAGGACAAAATTAGATAAAAATCCCATTCCAAATGTTAAATGCTACATCAATGGCAGTCATCATTAAGATTCCCTCCTCAAGGTGATTTTATTGGAGCCTGATTTGTGGGGGGAAAAATAATGTGAAGAAAACAAAGTCAAAAGACGTTCAGGAAAAAATCTTATCTATTCATGTTCAGGGCAGCTAGGTGGCGCAGTGGATAGAGCTCTGGGCCTGGAGTTAGAGGACCTGAGTTCAGATTTGGTCTCTGACACTCACTAGCTGTGTGACCCTGGGCAAGTCACTTCATCCTTTTTGCCTCAGTTTCCTCATCTATAAAATGAACTGGAGAAGAGAATGGCAAACCAATCCATTATGTTTGCCAAGAAAACCCCAAATGGGATCCCAAAGAGTCAGACACAACTTAAATGACTAAACAACAACAATCAGTACTCTCATGATTTTGTTTGTCGAAATTGCATTTTTACCTGTGCTGCAGCTAGAATTATTGACAGGCGCAGGGACTCAAGAGTTCGAGAGCTTACAGACACCATGGAGATCATCTTGTCTGAACCCATGTTGTCAAATAAACTTTGTGTACCTATCAGAGGAATTCTCAATGAATCACCAACTTTTTCTCTAATAAATGAAAAATGTGTGAAAAAGCGCCTGTGTGTAAAAGGCGAAAGTTTGTAGCTTTCATGTTATAGTCATTTTATTTGTCATCTTAATGACTCTAGTCCAGGGGATTTTTCACTTTTATACAAAGCATCAGTGACCGTAAAACCTCACCATCGTCCCAAGGTAAAGGCTTAGGATTACAGTTTTATTTTTACATATGTTAGCCCAGAAGTCACTCTTCTGATGCATATGATGTTTTTATGATGCCCCCCAATAAGTTGGAATATTGTTTATGAACAACACAAATAGACAATTCTAAAATCTTCATAATACCACAATTGAAATACCTCCAATTTTCTGCTTACCATTTCCTCAAATTATCAGACCTTCTGATTAAAGGTTTCATGCTAGATAAGAAGATATTTCTAATTGGAATTTCTATCTCTAGGACTAAAGGAATTTCAGCATCCTTCCTTTCACCATGCTTAATAAGCTACAATACAACACATACTCATGTTAAAATCTGGTATTAAAATGTTTTGATACTTTATAGTTCAAAAATGGTTTTATTTAATTGGGACCAACTGGCCTCATTGCTTCTTATAAACTTAGTAATATATATTCTGCAAGAGAAATAAAAATGAACAGCTGTTTTTCCTTAAAGAAAGCAGACAAAGATTTTTCTTACACAATAAATCAGTTGCTAGCAGATTTCCAGGACATTGCCTCAGGCCAGCTGTTTAGGTAGAGGATTTAAAACAGTATTTACCTCAGTGTGTATCCAAAACTGGTAGAGAAGATTGAACTGGAGATGTACAGCATACACCGGAGGAGGGATGATGAGCGCCAGGGGACAATAAAAGATCTGACAGAGAAAAAGCAAAAAGACAGTTAAAAAAATAAGAGAGTGAACTCTTGAGTGGAAATAAACATGAAGAAAAATCAGTGACTCCACAGTCTTAGTGTATGTTTCAGGCATGAATGGTTAAAAAAGATCTTATACATTTCTTAGCCATTTGGACTTCATGACATTTGTTTTCCATTCTGTAATGAGGTTAAAGCTATGCGGAAAACTCAGTCTGCTGACAGTCTTTTAAAGAATTGAATCCTGTGTGTTGACATAGCACACTCCCTGTGTTAGCCTGTTAACCTTGGGAAGCTGAGAACATGATTCTTTTCCAGAGGGAAATTTTCTCGAGATGCTCTTTTCCCTCAAAGGCAGTCGATGGATAGATAGTTAGCTAAGCTAGATAGATGAAGGGGATCTCCTAGTAAACTGCTTAATAATTACTTGTTGATTGACTGATTGAGACCTGAAGGAGATCCAGGAAACCATACAAATCCCTCATTTACAGATGGTGACCTGAAGAGCCCAGAAGGTGACACAGGCAGTGTGTGGATGAGCTTGAATTTGAACCCAGTTCCTCTCACTCCTAAGCCAGATCCACATTAATAAAAGTTCAATTTCATTCATTCTATCTTATTCTATTTTGTTCAAGCTAGTCACAGAGTCTAACTTCAAATTCTAGTAAAGGGTGCTCTCTCTCTCTCTCTCTCTCTCTCTCTCTCTCTCTCTCTC